CTTATAATTTTAATCTTTATAATTTTATCTTACTTTTTATTTTATAAGTATAATTTAGATTATTTATTTTATAAGTATAATTTAGATTATTTATTTTATAATTAAATTAATTTTTTAAAATCTTTTATAAGTTTACATAGAAAAATGTATTGAAATCTCTCAATCTTTGAGGGTACCGTAGCAACTCCCGAAAGATTTATAAGAGAGATTTTATTTGTAACATAAAAAAAAACATGTTTTTAAATAAATATATTTATTAAAATAATGTTTTAATGGTTATAATAGGTGTGAAATTCACATCATAACAACCCATAATGACAAGTAACATTAATAGAGAAGATTTTGATTAGAATATTATAAATAAAAAATAATGTGATTAAAAATAATTTAATAAACATAGTGGATCAAATTTTTTTTATTTATAAATATTAACTATCAATAAAATTGATAAATAATTTATGATCATAATAAGATTAAAAAGTGAACGGTAACAACAAAAATAGTAAAATACATGACGAAAACTGTATCTATATGTTACAACAACTTCATCACTTCTATGTTGAGAAATGGGAGAGCGGAGAGTATGCTCTGCGGTATGGCCTTGCAAGAGAGGCGGCGGGTTGCGGTGGTGCTCGGAGGCGGCGTGACGGTGGTAGAACGGGAATAGGACTTGGAGCAACTGAAGGGAGACGAGAGACGAAAGAAAATAATGATTTCAATTACAAAGTTAATGTTATTATTAAATTTTTACCTAAAAATAATATAACACAATAATTTTATAAAATTATAGTATTAATAATATAAATGAAAATATACTATTATAATAAAAAGTTTTTTGTAATCATATTCAAATATTAAAATGATACTTATTATAATTTAGAGAGAATAATTAATAATATATATTAAAAATTAAAATAACCCTTTATTTTAAAACTTCCAATTTTTTTAACACAAAAAAAATATATAATGAGACTTAAAATTATAGGAAGAAAATGTGCAGGGAAGCTGATAATTATGATCAGTTCATACCTATGCACCAGAGTAGAGATTTTAAATTTTAGGATGCCCCTATCGATATGTATGGCCTTATCAGAAGATATGGTACACATTATCAATCTTACAATTTGTTTTTGATAATTCAACCATACAAATATCACTTATTTTTTAATTATCTATCTTACTCATCACATAAATATATAAATGAGATGAATTATTTAAGTTTGCTAAATATTCGATTGAATTTAGTTATTTAATTAAACAAGCTAAGCAATGTTAGAAAAACATATTAAAATTAATTACTTTTGCAGTGAAAATTTTGTAATGTATATAATTTTTTAAATTCAAATCTCATTACTACTATTATGTACTAAAAAAAAAAAAACTACAATAATTTTTTTTGATTTGATCAAAACATGCATCCAACCAATATATATGATCAATCATTCACAGGGTACTAATAAAAGATAAAAATGCCAAAGCAGAGAAAAAGGCCAAGTTTGAATTAGGATATACACCCGTCCCATCATTCACATCAGAGACAACTAACAAATAGATAGGATAAATTTTTTTAGGAAAATGACTCATCCTCCGGAAAATGTGTGTCGAATTCATTCTGAAATATTAAAATAATTATTTAAATTATAAAATATTTAATTAAATAATTATTTTATGATAAATTTTTTATAAAATATTAATTTTTTAAAATTTCGGAGGATGATTCGGAGGTTGAAGCATGACTCAATTTTTTAATCAGGTTACAGTGTATTTAATAAAAAATAATTTATTAATTTATTTGATAAATTTATATATTTATTATTCATTTAATAAAATTTATTCAATCTATTTATTAATATTATTTTAAAATTTTAATGGATATGCATTGAATCATTAATAATTTATTAAGAATTATGTAAAAAAAATACATCATTAATTAATTAAAATTTATTTTAATATTCTTTTTAAAATAATTATTATTAAATTCAATAAATTTATTATGGATAATAATTTTTATTAAATAATAATGTAAAAAAATTATGTATGGTTATCGATGTACATATTATATTTTTATTTTTTAATGAAAGAATATTTAAGCATCATGATAATATTTAAAAATTAAATATATTTTTTTTTCCTCTCTTTCCTTTTGATAAATAATATAAGGGATTTAAAATCGGAAACAAAGACCGGTAACCTTTTTGGTCGATGAAAATGATAGTGTCTCAAATCTTATAATTAATGACTAATACGAATTTATAATACATACTTTTTATTATTCAAATATTATTTTAACATAAATGATAAGTAAATATGAGAGTACCAAATCAATCTATAGATCCTAGGATAGACCTTATAATTACTAAGTTAAGAGACTTGATAGTATGAGAATTATTATAAAATTGAGAATTTTATTTTTTATTTAATTAATTATAAACTCTAAGAAAAAGCTTCAAATAAACTTATATTTTATTTTAGATAAGTTTAAATACTAGGAAAAACTTTATTAATGGGACATGACACTATCTAATGACATAAGTTAACTTGATATCATATCTTAATTCAAAATTTTAAGATATTATATTTATGAGTTTTTCTCACTTATAAATTATTTAACATATTTATTTTTATCTAATTTATTTAGGATTTAAACTTTTTACACAATTATAACCTTCAACCCTAAATTTAGGGTTTAAAGTTTATGGGTTAAACTTTCTATTCATGCTTATACACTAATAAATTTATAGATTTTTTTTATTTTATATTTTTTTATGTGAACTTGTAATGTTAATGATAATAAATAGGTGATTCAATCTCGCTTTAAAATTCTCAAAAAGATTAGTGATTAAGTCTAACTCACAAGATATTGTCCCTTATCCTACCTTAAATGTTTATATTACCAAAAAAAAATTAGATCGTAGAAGTTTTTTTTTTTTTTTTTTTTT